CCCCTGGCCCCCCCGGCCCCGCCGGCAGGTGCGTGTGACCCCCGGCCCCGCACACCGGCCGGACCGGACCGGACCCCGCCCTGGCTGGGCAAGACCCTCGCGGCGGGCGACCCCGCCCCGTGTCCCAGCGAGTGGACCCCCTGGGCAGGTCCCTGCTCCAGGATTGCTGCCTGGGCCCCAGCAAGCTGGGGACATGGGTGCGGCCTGCACCAGGGTCCAGGCCCTGCTAGGCCCGTCCCGGGGCGCCCCCACACCTCACAGGGTGTTCATCCTCAGACTTTCATCTTCACCGACGGGGACGACCCTGAGCTTCAGCTCCATGGAGGTGAGTGGCCCCTGGCAGGAGGGGAGAGGTAAGGTGGGCTCTAGCCTGAGTGGCACATCCCGTGGTCCCTACATCCAGCTGGGAGGTTAAGGCACTGGCCCAGGGTTTCCCAGCAAGTGGAGGGCCGAGCCACGAGCCACGAGCCACCAGCCAGCTAACCCTGTGTCTGCCCCAGCCTGCCAGCCAGGCTCTGCTTGCTTCCACCGTGAGACCTCACCGCCCAGGGCCTCAGCAGTGCCACATCCTCTGAAGGCACCCCAGCAGGGTGCTGTCTCTTCCAGGCCCGGCAGCCTGCCTCCTCGGTTCTGTTTCCGTGTGGGGTTGCAAGCAGCCGCCCCCTGGCCCGGCATCATAGCGCCAGCAGGGTCAGCTAAGCCGCTGTCGGACCCAGGCGAGGTGGCTGGGCCCACGGGGAGCCACCTTCTGTGCCGGGCAGGCGCCTGCTCTGTGGGTGTTGGTCTTCACACTCGCGCTTTCCCCAACCCCCCAGGCGGCCACGTCGTCAACACCAACTGCTCGGCCGCCCGCACGCGCCAGGCGCTCTGCTGCAAGATGTCGGTGGAGTACGACAAGTTCATCGAGTCGGGGCGCAAGTACGCGGCTGTCTCTGCCCCTGGAGGGCCTGGGCTGAGCAGGGCGGGCCACATGGCTGAGGAGCAGCCCCCACCCACAGGTGGTTCTGCCACGTGGACGATGACAACTACGTGAACCCCCACGGCCTGCTGCGCCTGCTGTCCGCCTTCTCGCCCCGCCAGGACGTGTACCTGGGCAGGCCCAGCCTAGACCACCCCATCGAGGCCACCGACAGGGCCCAGGGCGGCGGAGCCGTGAGTACCAGGGCAGGCTTGGAGGGTGCAGCCGAGAGCACCGGGGGGATCTGGGCAGTGTTTCAGGAGGAAGCTGGGGGAGCTGGGGTCCAGCACGTGGCCCAGCCGAGCCATGGGAGTAGGCCAGGTCGGAGGCCACAGGCACGGGGTCGCAGAAGCTCCTGGCTCTTGTGCCTGGGCAGCTCTAGCTGCCTGGGAGGGGTCTCCTAAGGGTGACACTGGGGGCAGGATGTCCAGCTGGCTACAAGGGCCTGACCTGGCAGCCTGACTGGCCCCTTCCCCAGGTGACCACAGTCAAGTTCTGGTTTGCTACCGGGGGGGCCGGGTTCTGCCTCAGCAGGGGCCTCGCCCTCAAGATGAGCCCATGGGCCAGGTGAGCAGGGCCCCGGGGGCCTGGGGGTGCCAGGGGTGAGCAGCCAGGTGAGCAAGGCCTGGGGGGGCTGGGGGTGCAGGGGGCCCATGGGGCTGGGGGTGAGCAGGCCCGGGGGGGCTGGGGGTGCAAGGCACCAGGAGGCCAGGGGTGCGGCCGAAGGTGCTGACCACTTCCTCTGGCAGCCTGGGCAGCTTCATGAGCACGGCTGAGCGTGTGCGACTGCCTGACGACTGCACGGTGGGCTAAGGTGAGCAAGGCCTGGGGGGGCTGGGGGTGCAGGGGGCCCATGGGGCTGGGGGTGAGCAGGCCCAGGGGGGCTGGGGGTGCAAGGCACCAGGAGGCCAGGGGTGCGGCCGAAGGTGCTGACCACTTCCTCTGGCAGCCTGGGCAGCTTCATGAGCACGGCTGAGCGTGTGCGACTGCCTGACGACTGCACGGTGGGCTACATCGTGGAGGGGCTGCTGGGTGCCCGCCTCCTTCACAGCCCCCTCTTCCACTCCCACCTGGAGAACTTGCAGAGGCTGCCCCCCGACGCTGTGCTTCAGCAGGTACCTCTGCAGGAGCCCCCGGGGCCCGGCTGTCCGACCCCCACCTAGTGGCCCCCAGCTGAGCAAGGCACGGAAAAGCTGTCAGGGTCCGGCACGGTTGGGAGAGTCTGTCACTTAGCCTCAGGACCCGGGCACAGTGTGGGCTCAGCCACACCGAGCTCCTGAGCCTCCCTAGGGTGCAGAGCAAGGTCCAGGCTGTCGGAACACCTGGGTAGGGCAGAGGCAGAGGGTCTGGAACCCGGCTCCCTCTCCACCACCTGTGCCCACTGGGACTCCTGCCAGCTCCTGGCTCACCTTGCCCTGCAGTGCTATTCCCCAACCCTGGCTTGGAGAACACTGGGAAGCCATGGCCATCCCGGCAGGAAGACACAGAAGACCTGGCCCTGAAAGTAGTGTGTGTCCTCTGTCCCTCCCTCAGGTCACCTTGAGCTATGGGGGTCCTGAGAACCCACACAATGTGGTCAATGTGGCCGGCGGCTTCAGCCTACAGCAGGACCCCACGCGGTGAGTGGGCAGCAAGGGCAGGCTCGGTCCCGGAGCTTAGATGTGGCTGCTGCCCCAGCCTGACCCTGCCCCTCCATCCACAGGTTCCAGTCTGTTCACTGCCTTCTCTACCCCGACACGGACTGGTGTCCCGGGCAGAGGCAGGGCTGACCTCACCTCTTGCTGGCCGATGACCCCTAAGTCCACGCTGGCTCTGTGCCTGCCTCAGGTGCAGGGGTGGCAGCGGGTGCCTGGTCTCAGTGGATCCCCCATTCCACCTTGCTCAGACAGGCCTGCAGCTCCGGCAGCCCTCAGCAGGCCTTGGGAGAGTGTACACAGCCAGACTGAGGCCAAGGCCTGGGTAGACCCTGGGCACACCGCCCCCAGCACGAGGGTGCAGTCAGGGAAGCCTCCCCTGGCGGTGGCGCCTGTGAAGGGCCCAGGCCAGGTCCTGCCTGCAGCTTTAGGCGCAGCCAGGAGGGCTTGGGCAGGCCCTTGCTGGGGGGTCGCTCTCCCTGCTGCACAGCGTGGTCCCAGTCAGGACATCAGGGCTTCAGAGAGCTCTCCTCAGCTCTGTTCAGGCCTAGGCTCAGAACCCTGCCTGCCCTCCGCCCCAAGTGCCTTCTGCTTGGGGTCCCTTAGCACCAAGCCCACCCCAACCCACCTGGGCCTAGGCAGGTGCTGTCCCCACTGCGCTGTCACTGCAAGTGAGTAAACGCTTTGCTCCCCTCCCTGGCTACTGTCTCCATCCCGCAGGCGTACGCCCACGCCCACACCCACACACTGCGACTCTGCCCCGGCCTGAGCTACAGGGCCTCCCTGGGGCCACAGCCATAGCAAGGGCCTGTGGGCAGGAGGCCCTCCCTCGGAAGGACGGACACCTGACACGTGCTGTCCAAGAGGGCGAACGGCTCCTGTGCTTGCTTCCTCGGCACGTCCTTCCGGGACAGTTAGTACATGTTCGTGTGTGGGGGTGTGTGCACATACGTGTGGGGCTGCTGTGTACCTGGGTGTGTGCACGCATGTGTGTGGTTGCTATATACTGGGGTGTCCATGGATGTAGCGAGAGTGTGGGTGTGTGCACATACGTGTGGGGCTGCTGTGTACTTGGGTGTGTGCACGCATGTGTGTGGTTGCTATATACTGGGGTGTCCATGGATGTAGTGAGAGTGTGGGTGTGTGCACATACGTGTGGGGCTGCTGTGTACCTGGGTGTGTGCACGCATGTGTGTGGTTGCTATATACCGGGGTGTCCATGGATGTAGTGAGTGTGTGGGGGGGGTGCATATACACGCGTTGCTGCCGTATACCTGGGTGAGTCCATGATGTAGTGACTGTGTGTGTGTGTGTACATGTATGTTGTGAGTGTGTGGGTGTGTGCACATACGTGTGGGGCTGCCATATACCTGGGTGTGTGCACATGCTGGGGTGTGTGGTTGCTATATACTGGGCGTGTGCATAGTGTGTGTGCACATGCATGTGTGGCTGCCGTATACCTGGACGGGTATGTGCGTGGGTGCAGTGGGTGTGCGCACATACATGTGTGCTTGCTGTATACCAGGGTGTCCATGGATGTAGTGAGTGTGCCTGGGCGTGTGCACATACATGTGGGGCTGACATGTACCTGCATGCGTGCCCGTACGTGGCTGCTGTACACCTGAGTGTCCACGGGCATGTACATGCATGAGTGTGTACACGGGTGTACTTGGGTGTGTGCATTTGGACAGGTAAGCATCTCAGTCTGCCACCCTGCTGCTGCAGAAATCCCTGAGCGAGGTTTCGTGCCTCACAACACTGGTGGCTGGAGAGTCAGGGCTTCGCAGAGCCGTAAAACGCATCCCTTTCTGGTCTCGTTCTGCCGCTCTTGTCCCCACCGTGACTCAGTGGTGGAGGCCCCGCCCTGACAACATTGTCACATCCAAAGGCTTCACCTGGGAACACCTGTATGTGCAATGGGCACCATCGAGTCCCCGTGTGGGAGTTCCTGGGCACGTCTGGTCGCTGCTCACTGAGACCAAACTCCAACACGAACCTTTGGGGAACAAGGTTCCCGACTAACAGGGTCCACGCAGAGCCTGTCTGTGTGCTCGCTGTGCATGCGTGTGGATGCATGCCTGAGGACGTGTGTGTGCAGGAGGGCCACACCCACGTGACGCTGGAGTCAGTGAGGGCCTGTTTCTCTCTGGTCCGTGGCTCACATCCTGCAGGAAGACAGCTCTAGGACACCTGGGCAGGCTTTGTGGGTACCTGAGGCGCGGGGCTCCAGCATCCCGAGAGGCCCTCGGCCTCGGGCCCGCCTGGGCCCGAGGCCGAGGGCGTCCAGCAAGACCAAAGCCGTGTTGGCAGAAGGAGACAGGAAGTTTGTGACAGTGCACTGCGCTGGTCAGCTCCACGGAGAGGGGCCCTCAGCTGTCCACGTCAGCCCGCAGTGTCCCGGCACCACACAGACGTGGCTCACCGGCTGCCCGGTTCCAACCAGGTGGGTTCTGTGTCCTTTTCCTCACGTCATTTCAGGGTCCCTCTCCTGGAGCCCACATGATCCTGCCCTGGCTCAGACCCCATCTGTGGGCCTGTGTCCCTGCCCTGCAGGAAGGGTGTCTGGGATGCGCACCCGTGAGTGGGTGACTAATGACGTGGGCGGGTTTATGGGTCTTTATAGCCAGCCGCTTCCAAACAGGGCAGTGCCGTCTGCAGCACCCCTGGGCTACTGGCCTCCGTCCTCCCCTCCAGGCTGCCCACGCGGGTCATAGGGCTGAGCACGCTCGTCTCTGCGTGTGGAGGCCATGCTGGCGCCGGACCCAAGCCCAGGCCTTCGCGCTCAGCGTGCAGTCCAGGCCCAACGCAGGAGGCCCGACTGCCGTAGAGCGGTCTCGGGCTGTGTGTACGCTGCTAGCAGGACTCCCAAGTCTGGGCGTTTTCCATGAAGGCAGAAGTTTATGCACAGGGGAGGGCAGGTGGTGTGCTAGTTAGGGTGGCTGGACTCCCACATGGCTGACTGCAGTTCAAGTCCCGGACCTGGCAGCTTGCTTTCTGTTTCCTTCTCTCTCGCTTTCTCTCTGATCAACTTCAAAAAGAAATTAATTAAAGATAATGACAATGAACACAATTAAAATAATTCTTTAAAAATTAAATGTTTATGCACAGACTCACAATTCTGGTGACAGGAAAGCCTCATGTCCAAGGCCCACAGTGCAGCCGAGAGGGGCGGCGATGCCCTGCGGCAAGGCGGGGAGAACGGGCCTGGCTGATGCCCTCCACGGCACCAGCTCCCAGGAAGGCTGCCCTCTCCCCGGGGAGCCAGAGCCCACTGGTTTCCCAACATTCTCAGTCACGTGGGGGGTAGTCTCCACGACTCGCCCTCCACTCACACCTCCCAGCGTCGAATTCCAAGCCTGATCTTGGGGGCCCTGACTATGATCGAGACTGGGGTGGCCCCCAGGTCTTTGCTGCCGGATCTTGATCGCCTCGCTGATGGCATGGTCGTTCCTGGGCAGCCTGTCCACAGCCTGGGTGCCCCTTGGGGAGACTTCGCTGTCCAGACTCCAGGCCCCATGACTGGTCAGTGTGGAAGGGGTGGAGGAAGCCAAAGGCAGCTCACAGGAGGTCGGGAGCCAGGCCACGGCAGGCAGGGGCTGGCTCGGGTGGAGAGGCCGGGGGCCCTAGGCAGGTGCTGCTGACACAACCCAGGAGCTGGTGGCAGCAGGCAGGGGTCAGCTGGGAGGGCAAAACAGATTCCGAGGTTCCCTGCCCAGTGGCCAGTCCCCTCACCAAGGCATGGACCACCCACTGCCCCCAGACCCTGACACTGGTCAACGCCCCAGGGCCTACCCCCTCAGGAGACCGCTGTTCATGGCACTGAGTTGGAAGGTGAGGGGTTCAGGCCCAACTGCCCCCCGAGACAGAGGAGCCCAGCACCTGAAGCTCCGGCTGGGGCCACCTCAGAGCACGTGCTCGCCCCCTCCCATGGCTCCCAGAACCCCGGGCACCCTCTCTGGCTACACCCAGGCTGCTGTTTGCTTCACAGAGACGCCTGAAAGGAAATCTCATCTCCTGAAAAAAATGAGAAACTGGTAAGTTTCTTCTCCCCACTTTATTTCATTGTTGAGGTTTTTGCGTTAGGGCAGGTGCACTTCCTGGGGGGAGAGTGACAGAGACAGTGAGAGGGAAAGTGAGAAGTCACGTCCAGAGGAGGTGGCCACGCTGCGGCCCCTTCTCCACTCTCCTCCCGGGCGCTTGGGCACACCTGCACACGCGCACACGCGGCCTGGCGTGAGTTTCAAGCCTGCAGGTCCAGGACTCAAACCATGGTCAGCCACGTGGAAGTCCAGTGACAGCTGCTACGCCACCTGCCGGCCCCTCCGTGTCCTTCATGTCCCTCACCTGTAACGGGTGTGTGCGTAGGAGGGGTGTAACCCGGAAATCACAGTTCACTAAGGTTTAAACAGCTGTGTGTCCCCGGGCTCCAGGGCATGTTTTCGGACAAGCCACTGTCAGCCGGCGCCCCGCGTTCTCTGGAGACAGCACAGAGGCAGCAGGGCCAGCTCCCTTGGGCCGGAGAGCGTGGGCGAGCTCGCCTCCTTGCCAAAGTGTCTGTAACCTGCGCTGGTTTTTCCCAGATGCGTGCCAGTGGGAAAGCAGAGAGGGGTCACCGCTGGCCTCCCTGGGGCTTGGGTTGGCGACCACGTCCTGACTGCTCTCAGAGGTCCCTGGGTGGAGGCCGGGGCGGTGTGGGGTCCAGAGAGACATCGGCTCTGGCCCCAGACTGGGTGGAAGACCAGCTCAGGCACCTCGCGGGATGGCCTCAGGCCGTCACTCAGGGTTAGCCCGAGTCAGGGGTGTGCAGCTCGGGCCATTCGCTTATCCGTGCCAGAGGCAGTGAGAGAGACAGTGCCCCAGCGGTAACGGCCGCCGCAGTTCTCTCCCTCTGCGCCCTTGAGGGCCCCTGGCCATGCACACACGGGGCTTGCGGTTTTTCTCAAACCATCGGGTTGGGGGTTTGAACCACAGGGTCGGCCATATGGGATTAATGTGTGAATGGGATCTCATAAAGAAGCTACTTAAAAAGGGGGGGGAGCCGGCAGGGGCGTGGTGTTCAGGTGCTGGACTCCCACATGACGGACCGCGGTTTGAGTCCCGGGCCTGGCGGCTCGCTTTCTCACCTCCCTTCCTCTCTCGCTCTGCCTCTCTTTGCTCAAATTTTAAAAATAAATAAATAAATAAAGTTAAATAAAATAATTCTTGAAGAAGAGTCAGGAGCCAGCTGTGGTGGCCAGCAGGCAGCACCACAGGGAGGCTGGGAGCCCCGAGAGGGGCCTGAACTGGTTCCCAGGCTGACCTGCCCCTGCTGGCCATGGTCAACGACCTCTGCTCCAATCTCATAGGGAGGTGGAGGCCGGAGGGCTAGGGCACAGGGAGGCCCTGCCCAAAATACCTCGCACTGTCTCCCTTTCCCCCATAAGGGAAAAGCAAGCCGGGATGAGATAAAAATTGGAATAGCCTCTGTTTATCACATCATTCAAATTCATGGAAAAACCCTTTGCATGGGGTGATGGGAGCACCAGATTCCCACACAGCCATGGTTCAAGTCCTGGACCTGGCAGCTGGCTTTCTCACTTTCTCTCTGTCTCTCTCTGGTGAGCATGCACCGTGTAGCAAAGTAAAAATGAAGAAAATAATGATGATGAATAAAATGAAATAGGGGCTGGCGGGTGGCATGGTGGTTAAGGTGTT